GCTGAATCTCATCCTTTATTTTTCTCAGGCCTGTGTCCCCCAAGCTCGTGTGGGGACACATATGAAGTCGTCAGAAAAATCCCCTTGGAGCACCATCTCTCACACAGACCTCAGGAGAGGTGACACATCTCATAACATACTGATTCTTCTACATAAACCGTGTCCCAACCTCTAACTCCTGCATCTGTCTCCACACTCTTTTATAGCCTGGAAGTTGATGGCTACAAACCCTCTCATCTAAGACCCCCTTTGCAAATCAGCTTCAGTCAGTCTACCCTTCACAGTATTTGGCACTTTGTCCCAAGGCTTCAGAAAAAAAGAAAAAAAAATGGAAAAGTACAAACACGGATGGCTCTAGGTATTGATTTTCTTTCAATTCCTGACTTGGTCTTGGCCCTTTTCTCTCTCTCAAATCTCAATCAATCATGCTGCTGCCTCTGCCATGCCATTGCCTCCATTGCATTGGGTAACTCCTATTTTGTTTTAGGTCTCAGTTTACATGTTATTCCTCCAGAAAACTATCTCTAAACCTCCTACTGGTCTCCCCACTAATAGTAACTTAGTTTCCCCTGGTAAGTACTCATAAGCATCCTTCTCCAATTGTATGTTTAACTGTTTGTCATCTTAACTGACATATGTATAGCTTAAGGACAGACTTCACATGTATCTAGCTCAAAGTTGTGTACTCAGAGCCTAGCACAATGACAAAGTGCATAGGCACCCAACAAACATGTATTAATTAACCATTTGATTTATGCTTGGCACTCATTATTAGGAAAAATTAAATCATGTGAAATTTGGTCACATGAAAAAGGATCTAGTAGTATTTGAGATAAATAGGAATTGGGCTGTGCTTTAAGACAGTAGAATTCATGGTTGCTGAAAATAATATGTTAAAGATGATTTTATATGTAACCAACCAGGGAGTAAAGAACTCTGGCATGCAGAGCTCTGATGATTCTGTGTATGTGTGTAGAAGGGTGTTAATGTAGAAAGTTAAGAAGAACATTGTTTACGGGAAATTTTAACTGCAATCCTTTTATGAGCATATTTCTCTACAGGAAGGATATACAAAATTATACCACAACTATAAGCTTCTAGGAAGTGTAAGACATTCATTTATAAGATGTACATTGGAGCTGCCAAGTATTAAACAAGATAAAGAGATCCCCACCCACGAGATATGCTGAGACTGTAGGACATGGATGTGGACGGCAAGCTTTCAAAACTGCCAGAGAGTGTCCAGACAGCAGAGAAGTTCTGTACCTGGGTCTGGAGGTGGAGGGCAAGAACAGGTACTCTCAATGCTCCCACACTCCTTGAGGTAACAGCCCCATAAAAGGGAAATTCCGTGGAGCATTTTAGAGAAATCTGCCTTCTTTTCCCTGTGCACTTCCAGGGAATAAGTGTTCCTAGATACCTGGGAAATGATCAAATATGCACATTGGGGTCTACACATATGCTTGTGTGCGCATGTGTAGCACACATGTGTGTATGTGTGAGGTATGTAGGTTAAAAAAAAACAGAAACAAAATAAATGAAGGTGCCAGGTAAACATAAAAATCCATGCCCTCCTAAGATTACAAAAGATATTCATCATTTGATTTGGTTCTAGGTGCTATAATTGCAGCTATGCTCTGTGTTTGGGTTACTTACAGAGAAATTCTTGAATCTCAGAAATGATGCTTTCCTTTTTGTTTTCCTTTTCATCTTTCTAGCACCTGCATCAACGGAGTCACTTCTGGATTCCACACTGAAGTTCACATAAGAAAAACATTCTGAAAATACTTCTTCATCTTTATCTCTGCACAATAGCTCAGTTTTGAGTCCCTTTTTATGTGTGACAGTCTATAGCGGAGCTCTTCTGTGAAATTTCACATTGATCCCAACATTACAACTTATCTGACACTTTACACTTTTATCTTCTTGAAGGAAGAATACACTGTCACCAAATAAACTTGTTAATAAAGTGACTGCTAGTTTATCTCCTGCATGGTATCTATGGGTTAAATCTTTCTATCTTATCCATAGGCAGGAAAATTCATTCTACATTTCATAAACCAAAGAAGAGTGAGAATAAAACAGACATTCTAAAATACACCTAACAATTCTTTTTTTAATATATTCTTATTTATTTCAGACAGGAGTGAGAGGGAAAAAGAGAGAAAAACATCAATGATAAGAGAGAACCATTGATTGATTGGCTGCCTCCTGCACACCCCCCACTGGGGATCAAACCCACAATCCAGGCATGTGCCCCGATTGGAATTGAACTGTGACCTCCTGGTTCATTGATCATTGAAATGTGACCTCCTGGTTCATTGACCAACGCTCAACCACTGAACCACGACAGCCAGGCTGCATCTGACAATTCTTAAAGACAGGTTCTCTACTGCATTTTAGTTTATATTCCTATATACTATAGAAAATATGTAGACAATTATCCAAAATGTTATCTATCCTCTGATTCACATCCCAGGAAGGGAAGAAGGGATAGAAATGGAATTATGCCTATAATTGATAAAGGCATTGATTATGCCTATGTGAGAAAGCCTCCATAAAACCCCAATGGTAAGGTATTCATGGAGCTTCCAGGCAGGTGAGCACATCCATATCGGGAGGGTGATGCACCACAACTCTAATGGGAACAGAAACTCCTGCACTCAGGA